TCTCATGGACATCAAACAATTGCAAACAGGTTTATAAAAAAATCTTAAATATAAAAAAAAGTGTGCAGCAATTATTGGGACCCATGAATTAATTTGAGATAAATATATTTGAAGTATATTCCCATTGATATTTTAAAGAAAATTTTGTACACCTGGCTGACTAGGAACAGGTAATTGTTCAACCACGACTTCCTGTTTCACAGGGGTATAAATATGAGGTAACACATAGACCAAATTCCCTTATTCATTCATAACAATGTGTAAGACCAAGGAATACAGCTGTGATGTGCGGCAAAAGGTTGTTGAGCTTCACAAAGCGGGAAGTAGCTAGAAGAAAATAGTAAAAGCATTGAAAATGCCCGTTTCCACCATCAGGGAATTCATGGAGAAGTTCCAGTCAACTGGAAATGTTATGAATCAACCTGGAAAACGTGCGTCTATATTGTTTCAACGCACTGTGAAGAGGATGGTTCGAGTGGCCAAAAAATCTACAAGGATCACAGCTGGAGAATTGCAGAAGTTAGTTGCGTCTTGGGGTCAGAAAGTCTCCAAATCTACAATCTGAAGTCACCTACATCACCACTAGTTTTTTGGAAGGGTTTTAAGAAAAAAAGCCTCTACTCTCATCCAAAAACTAACTCAAGCCTCTTCAGTGTACCAGACACTACTGGAACTTCAAATGGGATCGGGTTCTATGGTCAGATGAAACCAAAATAGAGCTTTTTGGAATAAACACCAGAGGTGGTTTTGGTACACAGAGAGGTAGCCATATGGAAAAGTACCTCACGCCCACGGTTAAATATGGTGGTGGCTCTTTAATGTTTTGAGTCTGTTTTTCTGCCAGAGGACCTGGACATTTTGTTAGGATACACGGCATCATGGACTCTATCAAGTATCAACAGATATTAAATGAAAACCTGACCGTCTCTGACAGAAAGCTTCAAATGGGCCGTGGTTGGATCTTCCAGCAGGATAATGATCTAAGGGATGCACCAAAATTTTTCGGCCAAAAGAGAAAAAAGGCAGAAAACTTGAGCCAAAAATATACTCCGCTATGCCTCGGCCCTCTATACTCAGATTTCATTCTCACTCTATCGCGACGTTACTAAACCCGTGATATAAAGAACATTACTTTGAAGCGGAGAAAGTGCACGGGATATGATGGAGATAGAGCTAGAGGTGATGAATGAGCTGAAGGATCGACGCGCAGCACAGAGTAAAGTGTGACAGAGGAACGCGTGCGTACGAGTGATGAAGCGCACTTTCTGACTTTCGGACATGTTTGATGAGATTCTACAGGAAAGCGCCTGATCTGCAGCAGTGCCACGACAAGCGCAGCTATGCTTTCCTTTGCTTGTGCGGATTGCACGCAAGTATTTATCTGCCCCGAGGACCAGCACGGAGAGTCAGAGACTATTCAGTGCAGCTTCTCATGTTCTTGATGAGAGGAGGAATCGTCTCTCCTGCCAGAAATCTGAGCAACTTCTGTTCTTGAACGGAAACCTGCTACTTTTGTTTAAATAGAAAGCAGTCTAGTTTGCTCGGTGTATAGCAATTACATTAAAATTCATGTAGCCCTGCAAAACTTTGCTCTTGACTTGAGGCTACATTTGTTTTTTTTACAGCTTGAGGTTGATTTTAGTTCTATTGCTGCTCTTTTGTGCTGTTGTTTTGCACAATAATCTTTAATTAATTTGGTTAAACGTTTACATAAACAGAATAGAGACCCAATTAATTACTTGTCTGCGGTTTCTCATATCATAGTATATATAAAAGATATATATATATACATATATATATATATAAGATATGTATAATGATTATATAGCCAGATCTTATAGTGTCTACTCTTTGACCACAGAACAATTGGTCCTGTTGTTTCGGCCTGACAAGATTATGAAAGCACAAGGCTTGGCCAATAGAATTCATCGTTCTAAGCTTCAGAACTAACCAGACATAGGGCAGGTTTGTTCAAAAGTATTTGCTCCTATATGCCTTCCTTTATGATTAGCTTCGTTTGTGGAAGTGAAATCGATGGAAATTAGCCTAGCATATCAAGTTAGCTCGCTAGGTGCTTTGTGTTACAGGGTTAATGAGCCTCGGAACCAGGTTTTCAAGGGTTTAGCTCTTGGGTCTGCAGTGTTTCATTAGCACTCGTACAGAAATTGACAGCTTTTTCCTCTATGCAGTGGGAAACAGCATAATGCTGGTCTGTATTCATGGTTGGGGTGTTCATTCAAATTCTCTAAAGGGATCCCATCAAGTATAGCTATGGACTAACTGGACCCCAGACTTCATTTACATACAGTTCAATGGGTTGGTTATATCAAATGTTACACACACACGCGCATTTGAGAGTGTAAATGTTAAAAAAAAAAAAAAAAACCCTATACAAATTTTTTTTTAATGGTGTCAAAGACACACAGTATACAATTTTTATTCAGCCACCAGATGGCAGTATTGCACTAAACTAAAATGCATGGTATCCCATCACCTGGAAAAAGAAATGACCAATAATTGCTGTCTTTTTCTGGCAGTATAAATAAAAGGACATTTCAGAAACTCTGACCTGTCTGTCACACTCGGCCTCTCGCAATCTTCTTCCTCGTCTTCCAGATCTGATGTGTTGAGGAAACTGAAGCTTTCAAGAGCGGTTTCGACCGTCAAGCTCACACTGGAGGCTCGACTTCGACTCCGGCCCTACACACACACACACACACACACACACACACACACACACACATAATTCTATCTTTCTATAAACATTTGACAAAATGGCAAAAGTGGTGTATAATAAATAGCAAAAAAGACAAAAACACCACGACACACACACACAAATGTTTAGTTGAGCATCTTTACACGACACACCAAAATATTCTCTTGCACGTCTTCCGAAGATTTCTGACCAGTTTGTGAACTGACGAGCGTAACTACATTCTAGTCCAGAGAATGGATTTACTCGTTCGTCCTCGTCAACAAATGATTATCGTCGTGACTGAAAGATTTTTAGCAGTGTACCACCCTGAATCCAACACACTAAAACACATTCTCATCTTGTGGGGTGGAAGCAGGAAGGGTGGAAACCTGGTCCCTAGACTAGAGTTCAAAATGACTTTCACATCCTCTTTCATCTTTCTTCTCTGTATAACACACTGGCGGCACTGATCACACAGATGGCAGCAGATACTAATCTTAGAGAAACACTAGAAATCAAATTTGAGACTAAAATGGAAACGTGCACATACACAGACCATCGCAGACACTTGCTTTGATAAAAAAAATAAAAAAAATTAAGCACAGAACTAACACTAACTAATGTGTGAGAGAAATGGTTTGGCCTTAGCATTATAGAGATTCATAAAATGATTATACATCTTTAAAAACCTGCAAGATATGGGCACGTGTAGCACGCTGTTTACTCACAGTAAGTGCCTCCTCCAGCAGGCGGAGCTCTTGCTCCAGCACCTGCAGCTCTGGAAACTGACCCCTGTAGTCATCCAGAGAAGAAAGAAGAGCGCCGAGGGCCTCGTCCAGGCCGCTGTCTTTTGCCACAGTATCTTCCATCTTTCCACTATCTCCTGGCCAAGAATCTACTTCAGTCCCAGGCTTCACAGCCTGGACAGACACAGTGTGAGTCTTGGGAAGGTCCTGGGTCTGTTTTATGTCACTAGTTCTGGGGGTTAGAGCATTACCATGCTGCACTGAGGCCTCATTACCAACAGAGGCACAGTTAGAGTCCTCCTCACTCTTGGTGCAGGAATCAGATTGGGGATGTTTTGTAGGCTCTTCACATTTAGCAGCAGAATCGGAGTCCTCCTGTGCTGTAGGGGCTGTGGTGTCCGAGCTGGACGATGACAGCGTGACTAGATCAACAACGTGTTGGTGAACTTGTGGCACGGGAGTGACCGAGCATGGCTCGGCCCTCGGGGGCACATCCACGACTGCACTGGGCTCCAGTGATTCCCCGACAGACCTCTCATTCAAGGCAGCATCCACACTGCTCTCACTGATATGACTCAGGGAACGAGAGAAACGGGTGTGGCCATTGGGCACAGCTTGCGTCCCAGCAGCCTCTGTGCTGACGGTCATTGTAGTTGATTGGAGTTCCTCGTCCTGCTCCTCCTCCTCTTCCTCCTCTTTCTGATTGGCCAGCCGGGTGGGAGTGGAGGTGGACGATTGGCGGGGGGCGAAGGAGATGTCAATGGCAGGAGCAGCGGTCTGCACCTCAGGTTGCACCAGATTCTTCTGGGCATGTCGAAGACCCTGGGACAGCTGAGGGCTTGATGAATCGTCTGAGGATTCAGAGGAGTTCGACCACGCTGTACCGTTCTCCAACTCCTCCTGCCGCCTCAACATGTTCTACACAGAGGGAACAGGACAGCAAGAAAATGACAAAGGGAAAAGAATGATACAGTAAATATAAAAGGAAATGTGTGTGTTCTTTTTACCTTATGCATCTGTATCGTGTTTGTGATTACCATATCGTAGCTGTATGTATGAACATTGTTTCATTCTTTATTCAAGGCTAGTAGTAAGTTAAGCTCGGAAAAAAAGTCCCATCAGAGATGACTTAATGATGAGGAATTTTTAAGTAATGTAAACATGAAAACATTTTAATGCATTGCTCCGGATATTCCAAAGTTGATCCATTGCTCCAGTATTCCAAAGTTGGATAATACCACATAAAAACAGGATAATACCACATAAAATTTCTAAAAATAAATAAATAAATATCTCATCTCATCTTCAACCGCTTACTCCTTCTTCAGGGTCGCGGGGAACCTGGAGCCTATCCCAGGAATCATCGGGCACAATGCGGGGTACACCCTGGTGCCAGTCCATCGCAGGGCACAATCACACACCCATTCATACACTACGGACAATTTAGCAATGCCAATCAGCCTACCATGCATGTCTTTGGACTGGGGGAGGAAACCAGAGTACCCGGAGGAAACCCCCGCAGCACGGGGAGAACATGCACACTCCACACACACACACACACACATGGCCCTCGGGAATCGAACCCGGACCCTGGAGGTGTGAGGCGAACGTGCTAATAACCACTAAGCCACCATGCGCCCGTATATAAATATAATAATAAATATTGCACGCCTATAGTGTTTGAATGTGGGAAAAAGAAAAATGCACCTTTTTTTTTTTAATTGACACAAATTCAGGAAATTAAAAACCAAAAATGGGTGTATCCTACAAAAAGACAACAATCAACAGAAAAGTATTTAGAAAAGATTTTTTTTTTTACCATGATCCTCTCAGCCTCCAGAACTGATCTTAAGAAAGCGGTGTATGACATCGGTCACAGTTACAACAGATATATCAGGAAGCTGGACTACTGTTTCAATGTAATGTATTAGGTTTTTTACTCCATTTATCTAACCATTCGCTAGTATTCATTTCTGTTATTTGTGATAATGAAGGAACATCTTGATGGTTGAAATAAAAGTACTCATACTTTTACATTTGACTCTACACAGCTGTATAATTTAAGCATTTCAAATTTATAAGGAGTAATCACAAATGCACTACAGAGTCGTGGGTGATCGCTTAGCGTTTGCGCTATACCGGTAGAAATTCTCCCCACAATGAGAATAAGTCTTCCCGCGATAATAACGATAAAGCCAAGTCGCTGATGTATTTTCCCCATCCCCAAAATCATCACAAAACCAGGAGCTACCTCTATAACCTGGAACTGGTTTAGTTACAGAAAATCAGATTTACTCTTCGATCAATGTTTGTGTTTCTGAGGCTCACAAGACTGCATGCAGCGGTCACTTGTAGCCAAAAACAGTGGTGAACGGTACTATATATCGCCACTGGTATCGTTATGGCAATAAATACCAGAAAATATCGTGATATTGTTTTAAGTCCATATCGCCCATCCCTACTACAGATGCAGTGGATTGAGATTCGATACAACTACACAGGAGCATTCCTTTAAATGAATGCTCTCTTCCAAGTGCTTTCATGTTAACAGGAATAGAAATTAGAAGAAAAGAAAAAGAAAAACAAAATAAAAGCATATGAGGGAAAAGAAGAACAGTAATTATGTGCTTTAGATGGATGCGGTCACCTCTAATTAATTTCACATTACTGGAATGAGTAGAGAGGCAAAGGACAAAAGAAAAATGAGGAGTAAATGTGCGATTGAGTCATAGGGGAGCACGGCCTCTGCTGTCGGGCATTATTGCGATCATTCTCCCAGTACTCCATTTGGAATGACTGGAGACTGGCATCAAGCCCAGAGACACCTAACACGCTGCCTCTAATTAACTTCTGCTGCAGCTCGGTCACCCCACAAAATAAAAGAATGACAATCACTGGATGCAATTATAGTGTGTGTGTGTGTGTGTGTGTGTGTGTAGTGGTACACAAGCCAAGAATGCTCTACTGCATACTATTTGCTAAGGAGTTCTAGTGTACTTAACTACAACCGACCTACACAGATCTACAAAGCTTCAATGAATACACAAGCTTCCAAACTGCCACCACCTGGAGAACCCACCGAAGCAACAGATCTAAAGCCACACAGAACTACAAAGCTGCACTAGTTAGTAACTAGAAGCACTTGCATCTACAACAATATACCATTGTTAGGCAACAGGCGCTACCTATTGCAAACCTGCTCCACCAAGGCTACGTCCATATTAATCCGGATAAATCTGGAGGTGCATCTTGTTCTCGATGACTTGGCCATCCATCCACACCGTGACGGCATTTTTGTCCAAGGAAAACCGAGCTTCTTGGAAACACTCTCCCGAGTGGATCGATTTGAAAAAGTTCCGTTTTCATGTGGACTGAGAAAACGATGACGTCGTTTTAGTCATGTGATGCACTCAGGTGACCCAAAAAATGCAGATCTATCCAGATTAACGTGGACGTAGTCTTGGGTCTACTGGCTAATTGCTGCTAGGATCTAGCAGCACTTACGTGGGTGTGCAAGCGAGACAGTCCGAAGCTGATGGAGGAGACATCGCCACAGCTATGCGTCTGAGACATTTTCTCGGCCAGTGCGTCCCGGAACACGTCCAGGAGGGACCAGCACTGCTTGGGTGGCAAACTCCGTGGGGCGGACTGCATCGTAGCATGATGGAAACAAACTAAGAATTGGATTTGCTAGGAATCCATGACTACTCTCAACAGTAAACTTGCGTAGATGTCGGCAAACTTATTACAACAGAGTGTTGAACAGAGCTAGGGATGACGATAACAAGGTGTTACCAAGAACGAAGCCTTATGGACACTAAGATTGAACTGACGGATTCCTTTGTAGTCTGAATCAGGATTATGTTAGAAAACAGCCATGACCATTAGCTCTACTCATAAATTGGATGCACCACATTAAAGACATTTTGTTAAAGACATTAAACATATAATGGCACAGAGGAATGCGAAGGTTTCAGTTGAACATGTACAGACGCTCAGTTGGTATGTGGAGGCAGACACTCACATAGAATGCCTGTTCTCGAAGAGATGGCGTGTCTGGAGGACTATAGGTGGAGAAGCGTTTATTCACTGTAGGAGGCTTGGTCACTGTGCTGGCTGTGGAGGCCTGGTCATCTTTATCGAATGGACTGTAACAAACAGGGTGAAAAAAAAAAAACCATTCAGCCAAACACTACAACCTTGTTCCAAATTGTGCTTTGAATATGAGAAAAAAAAGAAAAAGAAAAAAAAAACCTCAGACACCTCACTTGGATATTTATGATTCAGACACATTCTCACACATTCACCGATCTGTCCGATTACATGTTAGATACATTTTTGATCTTGGATGAAAAGTCTGATTTAGAGAACATTTTAAATAATAAAAACATCCTTTACTTCCTTGTTACAAATGTGACCATTTACTATTACTTCAACTGAGGTTTAGATGAATTTTTATAGTTTAGATGTGGGTTTGGTTGAATTTTTTAATTAAAACGGACAATGTGTGCTTTTTTTGTTTGGTTAATCACATTTATTTATTTATTTTTGCAAGAACTCCTATGACAACACTAAGTATACCTACTTCCATGTCACTTCGAGGCTCAGCTTGATGGTTCCCAAGTCATTGATGTCCACAGCCACAGTCTGTGGCAGGGCAGCAAACAGGTCTTTGGTCTCGCATGAGACGTTTCCCACCACCACGTGATTGGCCAGACTCTTCAGCTCAGTCACCTGGGCAAGCAAATACGCGTTATTCAGTTTTTATCCTATTATCACACAGACAGACTGGGTAATTGGATACACTGCACAGACTGCCCAAAGCTACCACCATTTAGAGATGGCATAATCAACAGGCACCTAATGAATTAAGAGTTTCAGATGAACTTTGCAACAAAAAAAGACCGGATTTGAGTTTCAGAAGACTATTTAACGCAGTGTCTCGCAGTGTTTACTAAATACTCAGCGCACACTATATAAAGTCAGTGCAAAGGCATCATGCACCTCCATGTTTATGTTATAATAAACAATGCCATGGTAACTTTTCTATTGTAATGGAAGTGGTCTCTTCCCGGATGACAACGTCCACCATTAACAAGACACGGGGGCTCATAGTGGGAGATTTTGGTCCAGTGCTGTCCCCCACCATCATCAAAACATTAATTTAGGGAATTTTTATCCCCTATCTGCGTATAAATAGTGCACAGTAGATGTACATATACTACAATACTAGGGCTTCAACAACCAATCGAAAGTGATCAATAATTTAAAATTACTGACTGCGGATACCCCCGTCAGTGACGTCACTTCATAACGGAGAACACCACATTTCGTAACAAACGTGGCTTTGTCGTGTCAGATGCGTGTGCTGTTTAAATTTGTCTTTTCCTGTTTTACACAAAGTCTCGCCCTGACAGCGAGCGAGTCTCCATTAAACTTCACTGAATGAGCGCGAGTCCACGCACGCACGTCAAAACAAACAGCGCGCAATAGAAAGGACGCTCAATAACTCGGACTAAAATATTCATTTTGATCAAATAATCTTTGATGCTATATTTATCTATATTTAGAAACAAAGGTAATTGTGCTTTTATGAGAGCAGTAACTGTAATGGGGTTATATAACAGTTGTATAGGAATGTAAGAAGGGTTGTACATTTACAGAATAAAGGAACACGTTACCGTGTTCAGACGAGTGAATGTGTTACTGCAGGACCTCTTACCAGTTAACGCTTAGTTTGTGCTTTTGTTTTTCTTTTTTAGCATTTTTAATATAGTGAATTAACGATCAGTTGTTTTTTTTTCAAAATATAAAGTGTTAATATTGTAAAAAAATGATTTGCAATGTATAGCATAACCCACATAGATGCATTTAATACCTTTTTCATAGACTTCAATTTGTACACTGTTTGAAGGACAACGTCGGGCACGATGCGCAAAATAACACGTTGTTGTTGTTTTTTTTTAAACGCAGAGAAACAAATTGGACTTGTAATCCAACTAATTGAAGAAATACTTGACAGATTAATTGATTATCAAAATAATCGTCAATTGCAGCCCTATACAATACTAAATGGTACATTTGTGTACATCGTTGTAAAAATGTCTTGACCTGAATTGCCCCCAACTGGTGTATGATGCTCACAATACCAAATGGAAATAAATACAGTTTGGGTTTTAAAGGGAGCACGCAGAACTGAAATTTTGCTAGAACTGCATTCAGGTGACAAGGAAAAGCTACACTACCTCCCACCTGGGGCACACAGTGCTCATCAGTTCAAATCCCAAGCGATCATCTCCTCTAGAGTCCTGTTGGATGAGACACTTGGGCCAGTCTACAAATGGCTTGAATAAACATCTCTACATTTTTTTTAAAAAAATTCCTCCTCTACAGCTTTGAATATCCCTTCTGCAAAGTCATCCGCTTCCTATCCATTGCAGATTGCTCAGTTTCTTATACCTCCCCCATCTTTTTCCTCGCTCGCACTCACTCTCTCCCTCTCTCTATCTGGGGGAACTTTGAGCTCCTTTCCTGTGTGGGTCATGCAACCGCTGAAGAAGAAAAACAAGTGAAAGTCCAGCTGCTCACACTGGGTTGCTACAACATTTTACAGACAGATGCAATGTGTGCAAGAGTG